TTAATAGTACTTTTTTTTGTCATTTTTTGGACATAATTCATTCAAATTAATTTTTTTTTTGCTAAACTTCAGTTGAATGAGATTTTTTTTTCTTATTGTAAATCATTAAGTTAAATGGTTTTTTTTTTTGTGTTTTGCTAAACTTAAGTTGAACTGATTCATTTTGTTTTTTTTATTTGCTAAATTTAAGTTGAATGAGAAGCGTCATACCACAAGTGAATAATATCGTTCTTTTATTCAAGAAGGTTTTTTTTTAACAGTAAACCACAATCGCAACCTAGCCTCGTACTGATCCTCCCAACCCACAATCGATTGATCTCGGTAATGGAACCACATGGAATGAATAGACGGTAATGGACAACCATGAGTCAAATCTAAACGAATGTAGTGTGCTACGGTACCAAGATGGCACATGACAATCTCACGACATGGTCCTCTAGCTGATGTCGTGCAATGAGAGACAACACTGTGATGCTGAATAAGTTGTGCTGCCCACCTTGCGGACCAGAGCCCAACAGAACGACAACCGCATTAAATAGGGTCGCAACGGCGTAGAGGTCCTGCAGAACTTCGAACCAGTGAGCCCGTCCACAAGGGCCGTTGCCCCACCTTACGCGACGGAGTCAGGTGTCGATATCTCTAAAATAGAGGTATTCGTACAATTCACGGTGGCTGTCGACCTCCTTCACAATGCTTTCTCTTGCATCTGCCCAGTACTTCTGGTGACCATACACGTGACTCGCGATGACCCGAAATTCGCAGTTACCATCCGCATCCACATTCAGGTAACTCACTATGTAGTCCAACATATGCCAGGGGATATTTTGCCACATTGAAAATTCAAATATATTTGTCGGTCTAAACTCTGCAATAAATATCATAATAATTTTACGTCACAATTTATATAATCATATAAATACTTTAATTAACGCTCAGCCATATTTAAAAAAAAAAATGTATGACCCGCTTCCCCTTGTGACTGTTGAGAAGACGAACTTGTCTGTCCACGCGAAGAAGTGGTCGTACGGCTCGATTTTCGACCTCGCGATCTATCGTTGTACTCAAAAGCAGATGGGTTGCGCTTAGTTGAATTAGTTTTCTTGGGACGACCTCGCGGGTTATCCTTAACCTCAGGTTCCGCATAATCCTGTTGGTCTGGGTAAAGATGACTGTACATGAACTGATTCACGTACCGCATCATCGCGGGATCGCAGGTTTCAACCTCACTCACAAGCGTCTGAAAGAACTCCGCATTTGACCATGCAGCCTGACTCGCCTGGCTCTGATGACCAGTCCCTATAAGTATACGATAAAAAAGTCAATGAATTAAATCAAATAATGTACTTTAATTACATAAATTGTAATTGAAAATGAAACAACAAGTAGAAAATTATAAATAAAACATTAACCTTAAATTACCTTGCTCTAACATCTGTAGCGTTCTCCAGAACTGGTGAATCATTCTGAGATCAATCGGAAGTTTGGAATCAACTGCGGTATGGAGCAGACAGGCACAAGGAAGTCCATGAGTGAACTGCAATACACAGCCGCAGCTAGTGTAAACATCGGCGTCCAAGTCGTGCATCCTCGTAAGCTCAGCGTCCAATAAACTCAGACAGTAATGCGAGACCCTCAGTATCACACTCGTGAAAAGGATTCCCTTATACCGTGTATTCTTCTTAGATCTCGAGGCCTCAAGCGCCGTGTTGATAATACGTTATAAAATGTTAGATTATAATTAATTAATGCAGTAATATAATAACGCATTTAAAAATTGCAGTACGTACTTGATTTCAGTCACTTGATTATCGATGTGCTTATTAATCTTCTGCCAAATTGTATCGAGCGCGCCGGTGGACGTGTGAAGCCACTCCTTCAACACAGAGTGGGCATTCTCCACCCTACAGGAAGTTGTGTTTCCAAAATGTGTCACTTGGTTGGTCCAAGCCTTCACAAACTTCTCGCGGTGCCCTAACCATGTGCTCTCCACATACCGTATCACCTTTGGAGACTTCGAATATTTTGCGTGCAGCTCGACAATGGCATCGGTGTAGGCACCGAACGTACTGGCCTCTGCAATCGCCTTCCACGTACTGTGCGTGAAAATCTCTGAGAATTTTTTACTCTTCCCAAATAGTTTGTAGGCTTTGTCTTCCACATCCTTGTTGATGTGCTACGTTTAGAGTAAGTGGGCTGATTCAGGAAAATGCCTTTGAATAGGAGTGAGTAAACCCAACTCTTTGTCACTGACAACAACATAAGGATATACGTCTTGGCCTATCTGTAGTCTCAACTTCTCTAGAACCCAGTCGTAACTGGCCTCTTTCTCGTCCCTGATGAGCGCATATGCAATTAGGAAGTTCTGGTTGCACGGCGTCATCCCAATCATCTCGACCAACAGCATCTTGTACCTGTGCAAATGAGACCAAGAAGACAAAAAATATAATCAAATAAAAGTTTACTTAATCAAACACACTATTTAAGATTCACACTAATAAAGTATTTATAAAGTAACATACCTGTTGATTTTATACGTGGAACCTATGCCGACATACCAGTGATATGTCCGGAATAGATTGATCGACGCAGGATGGTCCATAAATATATGCTTCAACACTTTCGCGTTCGGATCGGATTCTGCATAAACTGTATACTCGCTGCTCACGGCCAAATGCATAAGCTGGGAAGGAACGTCTCTACCGTCGAAACTCTCTTTCTGCAGCTTATCTCTAAAGTTATATACCTGTCACCGATTAGCGTTAATTATAATGATTATTATAATTTAAAACAAAAAAAATTATATTAATAAATAAAAAAGTATATTAATGCGATTAATTTGATAAAAAAATTATGAACTATCACAATAATAATACATTAGTAAACATAATAAAATTTATTAATTATTATAATAACTTTTACATATAAAAAATTACTAAGTATCATAATTAACTTCAAAAAGTTAATTAAAACATATATTACAAGATATAAATATATATACCTGTCGCACATGAACGTTGTCTCCCGGATTCTTTTCCTTCAGCGCGGTCATAAATTTTGTCGGGGCCACCTGAGCGTCCGTCATATCACGAACAATTTTCTTAGATGAAGCGCTGAGGCCGCTCAACTGGCGATGACCCTCAGGATACACAACAAATTTATGGTTATGGTAGCCCTTCTCTTCATTGCTACATCTACAGATCCTCCAGTATGGAGCGCCGGACACCTTTTTTACTTTGATCTCGAAATTGCAGTTGCACTTATTCATTTTTGTCTTTCTGGAATTTCCGCCTGTGCCTCTGTAGCGTTCGCCTCTATGGCACTTCAAAAGTCTGACCGTTTTCTTTTTGTGGCTCGAAATTACTAATAGGAAACCATTCAACATTGTTTTGCAGCTTCAATAGCGTCCTGAGCACTATTAAATAATGTACAGGTATCGAAACTCAGACTGTAATCAACACCATCTCCTCCAAAATCTTCCCATGACTCCTGCTATATAGTACAATATTTATATTTTTAGAACATGTTAAATTAAGATAATTAATTTTAACATGTAACATAATAACTTGTAACTCATAACATGATATTATCTAACGTCCAATTTATAGCATAATGAAGTCTAACATGTAACACAATAATTTGTAACTCCTAACACGATCACGATAATATCTAACGTCCAATTTATAATATAATCAACTATAACATGTAACATAATAATTTGTAACTCCTAACACGATACTATCTAACGTCAATTTATAACATAACCAAGACTAATATGTAATATAATAATTTCTAACTCGTAACACGATAATATCTAACGTCCAATTTATACCATAATCAACATGTAACATAATAATTTGTAACTCCTAACACGATAATATTTAACGTCCAATTTGTAGCATAATCAAGTCTAAAATGTAACATAATAATTTATAACATAATAATATAGTCT